AGAAATGGATTATACATACCTGATTTCTAAAATGTAAAGATGATCTGTAGTCTGCTGTTACATTTCCTGGAATAATTTTATCCAGGGAACATACAGGAGCACTGGTTGTGGGTTATAACCCTCATTTAAGAGCAACTGAGTCACAGTTGAAGGCTGTAGTCTGGTTTTGATGTACAAATTAAACATACAAAAGCACAAATTAAATATATATGACCATACAGTACAATGCCTTATAAAGTAGTCCATGAGCAGAGCTGAAGGCTGGTGTTCACATCTATTGTGAATTGTTTCGTGCTCTTAATATCACTCATAATTTATTACCTCTAATTGTGGATCCCAACCAGTGGAATGCTGTCCAACCCCTGCTGACTTCAAGGGAGCTACACAAACACCCAGCACATGCCTTGTTTTGTTCTTTGGGGTTTTTTCACTGTAATTCAGGAATTCACTGTCATTTTTATTCCCACAGGAAACCCTGGAGGCAAAGTGTAACCACTGATTTATCAGCATGCATAAATCATTTTTGTGTTAAACCTGGGTGCCCCATCAAACTGCTACACACAACCTCATGGCACTAGGCTGGTAGAGGCAATTACACATCTCCAAACATGTACAAAGTAAGGTTATAGCTCCAGATGATGATGGAAATGTTAATGCTCCAGTCATTCATAGTTATTGTCTGTCCAGGACCAAAAAGTTCCTCACTGGAATGAGATGAAAAAAAAAAAACTATTCCAGCTCTTATGATTTAGTATAAAGAAAACCAAGAAAATTGTTGAAACCTGAATGGCTGGGGAAAAAAAACCCTGTGACTAGAATTCACAAATTTGAACCATAGCAGCACTGCTGACCACATCAGCAGAGTTCTTCCTATTTTCTGCACCAAGTTTCTGAATCTCAGTCATGATGATTAAGTAGTGCCTGGAAAGGGAAGAGAGATGCAGATGGCACCTGGGAAAGCTGCTGGTCTGCAAGTGTTTCAGACAGACAAACAGAGCACTGGGGACATGTAACTGAGCAGCACTTTCAATAACAAAGGAGAAAAGCAGCAGCACAGCATTACAGGTAACTGCTTTAATTTGCCTGGAGATAATATCAATCACATCCAACTAGTGATTTTTAAACAATTCTGAATTTGAGCCTAAAAGATTGGTACTTGATGCACAACTCTTCATCCTTTCAAATACCACTGCTTTGGTAATGACTCACATTACTCACTGCCTTGATCCTTGGGGTTTTACAGAATGAGCTACATATTAAGCAATTGCACTTTACAATGATTACACTTTGCCAAATCACTAGAGGAATGAAAACTGGCAAGCATCTGGGCTCCCTACCCACATGAAACACACAGACAAGACAGAGGTTAAATTCATAAGAAAGGGGCTTTGTGCTGGGACTCTGTAGCAATTTTGATAAAGTCATTACAAAATCTAGGATTTCAAAAACTTATTGTCATTAGTTATTGCCAAGGAATGGAATATAGGCATTCTTGGGAAGCAACCAACCCCTCTTATCCTTACACTCCAGATTCTGCCTATTTTGTGTCATCTGTGGCACCAGTATCTGTTGTGGAATTCAAAGCTCACTGCGGGTTTCTATCCCAGAATCAAACATGTTCAATGAGCTAATTTCCAACTCCTAGTTTGCAACAACCATCCAGAAATAAACCACAACATAAACAATGCAGTATTACAAGTCTGAAAACTGCTTGAAAAACAAAACAGCTGTGAGAGACTTGTGACTTTTCCTGTCCGATTTGACAATATGACCTTGAGAGTGTAACTTCTGGAGCAAAGATTAAAGTACTTGAGATTTTCCACAGCTTTATCTAAATGGGAGAAGGGAGACACCTGCAAAGCTCCACCTCTACTAGACTGTTGCCCCTTCATGGCATTTCAACATATTGTGTATATAAGTCAGATCAGTTCAAAAATATTCAAGTTCTAATGTAGCAACCCTCTGGGCTAAAATACATGAAGGAAGCTCCATGCTTTGGCTGGGCAATACTAACATCCTATACAGACACGACAGCATTAGCTAAGAGAGGTCAGCTCCTCCTTGACAAGATATATAATGCCCAAAAATATGGCCCACAACATGTCCCCACCTCAAAGGCACACATGTTCTTCATCCTGCCACTTCAAAGCTCTTGGCCAAAATAGAGAATTTTCAGGGACCGGAAACCTGTTTTATAACAAACTGCTAGTTAAGGCACACAACAGAAAATGCATATTCCTTCCTTGAGATAAAAACTATGATAGCTGGAGAAGTGAGGAACGTAGTGAGGGCAAAAGATAAAAAAGTGAGTTCAGCTGCCTACCATCATCCACATCACACAACTGGTGACTTCCCTTGGGCTCGAACATACACCCAGCTTCCTCATGTAATCCACCAAATGTGTTTTCAAGCCATGAGCTAACAACAGCATAAGCTGTTATGGTTCTTGGGGAGTTAAGATTGCTGTACACAGCCTCTTTCTAGGATAATGCCATAGCCCTGCTGTTCATGGTGCAGTTCAGAGGCACTGGCTGGGTAGGAGCTTGCACTTTAGGTGAATCATTCTGTTATTCACCTGTGTCCATAAATGTGCACCACACTGAGGTAGCCAGCACCACAGCAGCCTCCTGGTGCAGGGTGACACACACAGACCTTGGCTGACACTTACTGCTGCTCCCCAGCCACTGAAAGGAGCCTGATCCAAACCACTGCAAGTACAGCACATTGCCAAGGGTCACTAAAATTCCACTTCCTGCTCCAGAGTGGCCATTTTTAACATTTCCAGCCCATTTTGCTCCTCCTAAAAGCAAGGTTTTCTTCCCTGAATCAAAAGCCCACAGCCACAAGCAGGACCACGTGTCCCATCCTGGTGGAGAGCATTTTATAGTACTGAAGCATGCCCCACCTTCCACACTGAGTGTATGAAAAATCTCTGTAACATTTCATTTAGCTCCAACAATTTTGGAGCTAAGAAGGAGGCTGGAGGTCAACTCTCTGGCCACGAAAAGGAAACCAAGCATGCTAAATTATGTAGCTCTCATCTCGCCAAGTTCTTCTATGTGCCAAACTAAACAGAGACTAAACACAAATGTCAAGGAAAATTGTGAAGAAAGGGAAGAGCCCGAGGATTCCAAGAACCAGATGGTTTAGTCATAGAAATGGATGCAACAGTTGGTAACAGCTTTCTGTGCCTGTACCAACTTTTCATCTGATTGATGTTTACAGAAACCAGGAGATTCATTAGCAGATACTTAAATATAGGATGCTTTAAGTTTCAGGGGAAAAAGGTTTCTTTGGTTTCACCCTCTTGCCTTTTAATAGGGCAATTTAAAAAAAATCTGGCAAAAGAACTCAAGCACACAGGGATGCAGAAACTTGCAGATTTTTTCCCCCCAGAATTTCCAAGTGGAAACACACATCCTGGCACATGCATACCATAGAATCCTTTTGTAGCACATGAAAAAAACAGCTTTTCCTGTAGTTGCAAAAAAAGTGGGTCTCCCTTGTTAAGGCTGTTCTTGGAACTGGTGGCTGCTAACTGATGTTACTTTTCTTCCTATATGAAGATACAGACAGGGCCATACCAATTTTTTGGACACTGGATCAGGTCTCCACTGGATCAGGACATAACTTCCAAACACAGTTTTCTTATATTTTACTATCCTGTTTAAAGTTCTTAAGAGAGTTTTCTTCATCAGAAAGCCTCTTTTATTTACAAATACATATTTGTCCTGTGTTCTTCATAAGATTATGGACTGAAAAGAGAAATGATACACATCCAAATATAAAAAGATGGAATTTCACAATAGCATCATCACCATCACTAGCAAAAAAAAAGAATGAGAAGTGGCTTAAGTATCTCTAAATTTCAAAGCTCTCATTTCACAGAGAACATATTGCTCTTGAATAGCTGGAACCAGACAAAATTAATTTACCTCCTAGAAGACCACATTTTCTTGAAGTGAAGTTACAGTAATGTGCTAATATTTTTATAAGCATCGGTCTGAACTCACTACAGAATTAAACTGGAGAAGGATGTGGCGTCTGAAAGAGATGGTTTTAATGGGAACACTTAGCAACAGTCAGTCTTCAGTGCTGTCAAAACGACCAAATGAACACTGCCTGATACACTCTTCATTCTTCAAAACCTGGCATTTTGCAGAAGTATTGGCAACATTCATGTTTACAAAGTTGGCAGAAAACAAATGTTTATTTTTATCCTTGAGTTATCACACAAAAAAACTTAAAAAACTCAAATCATAGTGACCTGTTGGTACTGCTGTTACAACTGTGCTGGTGTTCTGATTCCTTTCAAACCTCAACCGGTGCCCAGGAGGGCTTCACACATAGGCCAGGGAACTGGAAATTAATTTACACTGCTTCATTACTCTAAGTCCCTCAAAACAGTTTCATACAGCATTTTGATGATCACAGGTAAACAGAAAAATATCAGAACTTTCTAGAAAAGAGGGAAACATACCATCTTTTTTTCCACAGCAGCGAGCAACGGAGGTTTTGGTTTCAGCCGCGAGTATGATGCACACACTTCAGGAATAAGGTGTGGAGGACATGCATAAGGGATGGACGTCTTCCACCACATCCCTCCAGCTGTTTTCATTTCAGACTTAGTCCTGCTGCCCTTTCTGAACCGTGCACTGGAGCCAGGAGCAGACGTGGCAGCCAAGGACCACCACACCACACCGGTGTTATGGCACCTGTACTTCCCCACTGCCATTTCTACCCCAGTAAATGAGGCAAATGCAGCCCCTGCCTGGCTGCCCAGTGCTCTGTCTGGCAGATCTCTGCTCCTCAGAACCCTGAGCATTGCCATCTGCTCGTGTTTGAAACACTGCAGCACCTAATCCTCCTGCTGTCCATTGCCCTAGGGCAGGGCTCCCAAGCCTCCTCACCAACACTGAGCCTGCCCTCCATCCCTGTGCCAGTTTAGCAGTTTTAGCTCACTCTGACCTGAAAATGAAAACACTTTGACCAATCGTGACTTAAGCAAAATGTCCGTGTGTATTATGTCAGGTACAGTTATGCAATGGCCAATATTAGTAAATTCGTAGCTAATTTTAAATAAAAACTCTGAAAAAAACAGCGACAAAACAGTTCCATGGCACGTACCATCCTTACCATGGGGATAATGCTTACCCTTTGTCCAAAGGGACAGTGGAAACAAGTATAAATATATAAACTGTCTCAAAACTGCAAATCTAAGCCTATGTTAATGCTCTAAACTGTCACTGACTTCCACTAAAATTATTCAGATCCAAACATAAGCAATGATTTAGGACATCAATTTCTAACATAATGCTGGTGACCCCGTACCAGTCAGGCTGGATTGGTTTCAGTCCACAAAGCAAACTACAGAGTGGCAATAGTTTATCGCTGGTCTTGCAAGAGCATTTAGTATGCAAATATGTTTTTTTAAAGATATACACACACACATTTCCCCAAATTCATCTGTGGCTGAATATTCCCCTTCCAGTTTTCAGTAATTTTTAAACAAATTAGATACCAAGCCCTTTCTGTTTGGATGCTTTGCTTTCTTTTTCCAGCCTGAATGAGTCTACAAATATTTTCTTAATTATACAAGGCCAATGTTTCACTTTGCAAACATTGAGGATGAAGGAACACTTGAAGCTTCAGCACCAGAAGGAAAACAAGGAAGAGTGCAGAGGGTAGCTCCATTCAGAATCACAGAGCTGTAACAATTATTGTTCCAGTTTAATACAAGTAACTCATACAGACTTTTTTTCTAAGCAGTCCCATTGTTCCTGACAACCAAAGTGATTCCTATGTGAGATTGGACCTTCAAGACCCTTAAGTTGATACAGTTTGCAATCCTGCAGAACAGCAACACAAACCAGTTCCCCATACGCACTGGAGAGATAAGAATACTTGTAATCTCTTGCAAAATGTCATCTCAGTTCATTAAAAACTTCACCTACTTCCTTAAAAAAAGGAGTCCATCATTCTTGGACGTAGTTGTCATTTTTTTTGTTGTTGTTGCTGGAGTACTGAGTTCTTGACCTATGGTTTTATTTATGTGTTAGCCTGAATGAGGGTAAAGAGAGAAGAGGAGCACCGTAATATGAGCAGATTAATTAACATTACTTGTGATGATACTGATGATTTACCCTGTTTGTCCCCATCTCTCCTTACGAGTCTCATTCTGTTGCCTTTTTTGATTTTTTCCAGAGTGCTGTCAACAGAGCTGTGGAAGTTCCTTCCTTTGTGAGAACAACATTGCTGATTTCCTCTGAGTCTTTGCTTCCATAGGAAGCAGATACCTGGCAGATTTGCAAGGGAATGCTAAATCAACTGTGGAAGTTCTGCACTGTTGTCTGTTTCTGAGAGAGCCGCAGAAGTTCTTCTCGAATTGCTTTGATAAGAGAGGCTGACGAGTGACCTGGCTGGAGGTCCTCAGTGGAACTGGTGGTGTAGCAAAGGCCCTGGCCCTGAAGGCTGTTGTGTGGAAGCTGAGCAGGAGGAGCTGAGGGCTGCCTGGCTGAAGTCCTCTGCATCTGGAATACTGGTGAGGAGGAATATTCTTGGTGTCCATGCATATGCGTCTGGAAAAAGGGAGAAACCATTATTGTATTTTTTGAATAAATGTGATTATCCCAGAAAAGACAAGAAAGCAAAAAGGCAAAGAACAGGGGGAAAACAACATGGAGATGCTTATATCTGCTGCAATGGCTCTTCTGTTACATGAATGAGTGATGTCTCTTATGGAGCACAAAACAACAAGTTTACACAAAATTGTTGGACTGCCTCAAGTTCAGAGAGCCCCCCCTTTCCAATCTACAGTATGTTTAGGAACTGAAATGGAAGGAGGTGGGGAGAAACCCCACATGACTGTAAATCAGAATTGCCTTCTCTTACCATCCACTTCCATCAACTTCCTAAAAGACAGCAGGCAAATCACTTTTTCCCCTGGCTGTCATTTCTCCATACTATTTATAAGCAAAGATACTACTATTTCCACTTTCCCTTTTTCTGCCTGCTTTGTCTGTTCAGACTGTACACTTTTGTGGACCCTGTGACTGACCAGTGCCCAGGAAAACACTGTCAACAGAAGAAGCAGCAGAAGAAAACTACTAGGATTTGAAAGATTAGGTTTTTCCATACTCAGTATCTGAGAAAGGCTATCCCAGCTTAGGGACAATCATTGTTTCAGGGCAGGGAGGGGTTAATTCTGCCTTTGTTCAGTAATGTGCATTTTCTAACAAAACAAGAGAGACAGAGAACAGAAGCCTGAGTTTATGGCTTGTCCTTCTGCAAGACAATCTGCTTACACTAAAACAAAGCATGGATTTACAGTACACAGGGCGACTGCAGCAACTCCCAGTACGGACACAAACAAGGCACATTTTGAAAATCCAGACTCCAGCTGACAACCCTGAAGCAAGTGTTTCCTCTTGCCTCGAACTGCTGAAGGCTGGGAGACAGCCTGAACCGAACAGGGGACGCAGAGGACTGGAAGGCACAGGTGGGAGCAAAGCAAGGTGATCCCCTTGCAGGGGGAGCAGCAGGCTCAGAGCACAGCCACCACAAGTCTGTGAGCACTACCTTGGTCTGGGAACAAGCCTTAAGGAGTAGCAGAGAGAGCAGCCTGATGGGGAAAGAAAGGACAGCAAGGTCAGCTAGAAGAGGATTTGGGAGCAAGGGGGAGGGGAAGGAAGACATTACAGAGCTTGGGAAGGATACAGGGAACCTGCAGTGACAGTGGCAGCAGTGTGCAGGGAACACAAAAAAATGCATGGGAGCAAGTTCCTTAACATCTCTCATAATACAAATAAATAAAATTTAAGCCATTTTGTATAAAGAAGAATTAATAATAGATTCTGAGTCTCTTGTGCAGCTCACATACAGCACTCCTCCTTTATACTGTTAATTCTGGGAGACAGATTAAGGGGGAAAGAGGCTTTAATAGAAGAATGATAGGTAAAGGTTTTCCAAGTAACATCCTGCCTTATTTCTTATTAAAGAGAGGTGATTTCAGTATCAGAAAGGAGTGAATGGGTCTCCTGATTGTTCAGAATTATTCATTTGGCAGTGAAACCTGAAACTAATTCATACATGCAGTCTAGAGTTGGCAAACCTGACAAGTACTCTGTGGGTTTATGGGGAAGAGATGACATTAAAAAAATATTAAAAGGAAACACTCCTTGACACATGAGTTTTAACAGCAACCTAAATTATGTTCAGGTTACTTTCACATTAAAATGCACTGTGTGATTCAGCTGCAATCTCACACTGCACTAAATTACCACCATAAGAATGGTTTCTTAAGGGAAGTTAGGGAATCTGATGACCACAGTGGCTATTTTTAACACTAAGTTTTTCAAGGTTTTCTTAAATATCTCAGAAATAGAAAAGGGTGTGTTTCTGTGATTTCACATATAGCATCAGGATTAAACAGGCCTGTAAAACTTCAATACCACATTGGTTTAGAAACCTAACCTGTACTAACCTACAACAGCAAAATAATAGGAGCAAAACATCTGAAATAATTTTTGCTGGTTTTTAAAGATTTCTTTACTAACAGAAACACACAAAGATATGTTATAGGACATTATATATGCAAAAATATATAGTTCTATATAATAGCTATACATTTTATATTTTTCCCTAAAAACTTGTAGATAATTAACAGCAGTATGAAAAAATTGACAAAAATATTTTATTGAATCTTCCTTCTTGAGGAATGAAGATTTATGAGATGAAAGTGTAAATTTGTTGATCTCCATTTAATACCCGTTGAACTCTGGCCAATTTCAACTGAACTAAATGTATAAATATATACCCAGACATACCTGTGTATATATGAATGTATGAACATATAGATAAAGTTCACAAAACCAGGTAACTAATTAGACATCATCTAATTTTTTATAAGCTTATTTGTTATCATTGAATCTGCATCTGAGTGGCAGAAAAGTCAAGTTAGGCTGCGCTCAGCTGGATCTCTTAGCCAGCATGGATCTCACCGGGCCTATCTCAGGGACTTGAGGGACAACTAAGTTTGATGAGATTTTTTAGACACACTAGAGTGGGCAGCTGAGTAGAAAAACAGAGTGAAAGGATAGGAGTATCTTTGGGGAAACACTGGAAACCTGCAGGAAGGCTTAGGGGAACAGTGGAAAGTTCCAGGGGATTCTGGATGGGTAGGAGGTGATGCTAGTGGTGGAGGGAAGTGCAGATATGCAAGACACTGAGCCCATCTGTAAGAAGCCAGGTTTCATTTGTTCTGCTCAGGATTGTATTTTGTGTCAGCTAAGGAAATGCTGTCCTTCTCCTGGCTGCCCTGGCCCTTCTGGATGGAGAATTAAGGGAATTGATGGCACCCTGCACACTGGCTTTGGGCTGGGAGGTACAAGTGAGAGGTCATGTTCTAGCAGAAAATCAGGTATTGACTTCAGGAAAAATAAAGGGGTGAGGATGCTGTGAGGAAAAGCACTATTGCAGGAAGACAAATGCAGATCCCTGTCCAGTTTGTGTGCAAGAAGAATGCTCCAGATTTCAATCATCCTGAATGCAGAGTTTAATTTTAGAAACTTGCTCAGAATGAGGGAACAGTAAGACAAGGTTTGCATAGGATCAGTTGAATAATGCACCACAAGGAACATGACCATCATTAAGTAAAGCCTCATTGCCAAAATGAGGAAAGAAAAATTTAGAGCTCTGTCCGATTGAAACATCCAAATTCCAAAGGTAATTATTCAACTACAGAAAGCTACAAGATGACAACTTTTTGTTTGTTTGGTGGGGTGTTTTTGGTTTTTTTTTCTTTTTATTTTTTAATGAGAAGAATCCTTTAAAAAATAAAATTGCAAATTGCTCACAGGAAAAAGAAAGTTCAGGCAATACGTGAGCTCTCCTACAACTGCATGACACCAAATTCAAATAAGTTTTAGTTCATTATCTCCTCCTTTTGCTGGTTTATTAATAGCAAACTGAAAAAAACTCACATTGCAGTAACATATGAACTGCAGTAACCAGTGAGCAAAAAATGCTGTCAAAGCTGAGGAAATCTTTAAACTGAGACGAACCAAAAGAAAACCAGCCTGGATTTCAATGACCTGAACAGGAACATGCACACAGATGTAGAAAAGCCATTTTCAGAAAAGAGAGACAAATGTAAAGAAAGGTCAATAAATGGTAACCCAGAGATGTCTCTGAAAATAGAACTTGAGACACTAAGATCTGTCATGCAAGTGCTCTTTTAGATGTAAACTGAAATTATGATCTTCCATTCAAATGCCAGAGTTTCAAGCACAGAATGCACATTAAATTAGGGAAACAGATCTTTCAGCTTTGACAGCTGAAGTTTTTGAATAGTATTAAACAGCATACCCAGTTCTCAAAAACTTGATGCTGCTCCTCTTGAGTTTACTTGGAGTAGAGGCAACTCAATTTCACCAAAATCTAGAGATAAGCCCATCCTGTTGCATTTCCTTTATGCAAAGCTATGTCATGATCATGCAATACTGCAAAGCAACATCAAGTAGTGTGAACACACACTGCCCTAAATATGCAAAAGGAGGAGATCCCACTTTTTTTCCTCAAGGAAGAAACCAGAAAAATAAAGTTTAAACTAAGAAGCAAAAGAAGCAGCATAAAGTTGTCACTCTCAAGAGTACTGCAATAAACCTGTCGCAGGTCAGTCTGCTCCAGGATGCAAATGCACCAAAGAGGGACTGGTAGCAGCCAAGTGTCTCTCTCCTGGCAAGGCCATATATTATCTTCAACCTCACACATCTGGCTGAATCAGAAATGTCAACTTCTGCAAGCACAGCTGCCAAGAGCATGAAATCACCGTGGCTGCCTGGGCAGCACAGGTAAAGGAGCCTGTGTTCATTTACCACCTCCTGCTGACTTAGGCTAGGAAAGAAACTTGTTTAAAAACACCTCCAGTGTTATGGGCAAGTATGAACCTTTTTCTGCTTCCCTGACTCCTGCTGTTAGCACTGATACAGAAGATAAAAGATCTTTATGCATACAGAATAGGATGGCAGCCTGGGACAATTTAATTCAATGTTTTCTAATGACAATGAACTCAAAATACAGAAGCATATTTCAAAGAAGGAATGGAAAGCAGTATCCACCTCTGCTGGAGCTCAGAAGCAGAACTGGATGAACTGCAATTAATGGGTGAAGGCCTCAAGCGAGGAAAAAAAAAAGTTAGGGTAAAATGACAGAAAGCATTTGGAGAAGCAAAGGTGAAAGAACAGCAAGCAGAAGTCAGAAGAGCTGACAAGGGTCTGAAGAGCAAAGCAAAGGATGTCAGAGAAGCAACTAAAAGTATTCCAGGGGAGGAGAAAAAAAGTTCCAAACAGTAATGCAAGAAAAAAATACCCAAACAAATCACTACTTTGGAAACTATGGAAATGTGTAAGAGTACTCACTGCATCTCGCCTAGCACATTCATCCTCTCCACGATACTGGGGCCACCCTGGCCCCCCCGGCTGGCCATGCCCTGCTCTGCCTGAGGGGAGCTCCACTGGTTGACCTCCGATCCTGCTAGCAATTCCCACCTGAGTGAGGTGCTGTATCTGAGAACCTTAAAAGCAAATATTGGTTTTTTTTTTCATCTTCATACACAGTCAAGTTTGCAGGGCAGACATATGATAACACAAAACTTTGTTGGAAGCGGGAGACGAGAAGAAAATGGAGCTCTGTTTCTGTGCAGTCAATAAAAATCAGCAGAAAGAAGGCTGTCAGTGTGGAATGAAGACAGAAAAGTTATGTGCATTTTGTGCAGTTCATGTGAATGTGATGCATTTCATGGCACTGCACTGAAAGAAGAGGTTGAGATAAACACATCTCTGACATGGGTTACTCCTCATTCCAAAAACATGCCAGCCCTTTCCCAACAGTGCTTACTGAAAGCTCTGGCAATGCTTTCATGCCAATTACTCAGCAGCAAAGAGAGGGCATTTGCTCCTGTGGCACACCTTATTTGCATCACACTGGCAAGACCCTAACTCTGCAGACTGCCTCCTATTGTGTGGCTCTGAAGAATAAAACACACGACTAAGTAAGAGTGTGCTTCTCTCAGCTTTGCTCTGTGGTTAAATATTAAACCATGCTGTCCTTAACTAAGAGAAGGTCACAACACACTGCATCTCCTTCCAGCCTGAAAGCCAACCTCCTCCTTTCTCCTCTTCCTTCCCTTCCCTCCTTCCCACTGCTTTCAAACATATGCAAGGATAGCTGCCACCATTAATTGCAAGAGATATGTAACAACATGCCAGCTTTCCTTCTTCATTAATCGTCTCCCACAGGGAAATGTCATTTACATTTTTATTCTTAAAATTACTATTAATACTTCATTATTCATTAGAAATGAAACACATTTAAGCCAGAGATACATAAAAGTGTGTGTATGCACAAAAGGGGAGGAAAAGACAAAAACAACAGTGTGATTAACGTGATGGACAGTTTGATCACTTCCCTATTTTCTCTCAAAACCCTCCAATATTTGAGAAGTTTGATATTTAATCATGCTGAGGGACAGAAACTAAATATATTAAGTGCCTCCAAACTTTAAAGCAGAATACATATTAACATTTAGACAATAGTGTGAATTAGAGAATAAAATAGTGATCATTAAGCTATAATAGTTACAACACTCCTACTATTCTTATTCATTTAACATTTACAGGGAGATGAGAGCATCTACCAAAACTGGGCTTCTGACATAAGTATATGATCATATTTCCAGTCTTTTTCAAGGAAGAAAATATTTATCTGGGACAAAATTAACTGTAACATTTACATAGCAATACAAAATTTTATTCTTAGAAGTGTTGGCTGCTTAGCTACCATGTGATGTTACCATCATGACAGCATTGGTGACTGCTATCAAAATTACCTCAACCACATCAGGGAAGGTGATTTCATGAGGGAAGCAGAAATAGATAATTCAATGTAAAACTAAGAGATACTGTTCTAATGCACACAATTTTATAAAGAGAAGTAAGAAACATGGATATAGAGAAGTATTAAAAAATTTTGCTATTTAGCATGCTGATTTGGGATGCAAAAATTAGTTCAAAATGGAAAGTTAGCATACATTGTAATCTCTGAAACAAGTAATTTTCCATTCTTAGCAAATGGGGTTTTGTGAAAATACACTTTGTGATAACCAGTGCTTGTAAGACACTAAAAAAGAGGCAATGCAAGGTCCTACAAAAAGTGAAGGTAACCTCACTTTGTGATAATCTTTTTTTGGGCATTGAGGACAAGGACCACATATCACATGTAGCAGCTGAAGGAGAATGACACCTTAGTGGTGACCTTGGCATAGGAACAGACAGAGGAAAGGCTCAGTTATTTTCCTGCATATTTAACCTCAGTGAAGTGTACCTGCAGTGCTTCCAACGGGCCGTGGCCGTGCCACTGACGGCATTTCCTCTGAGTACATCCCCCTGGAGGAGTACTGAACCTCAGGGGGTGGCTGCTCTCCGTGCATCAGCTCTGCAGGCTGAAGGAAACCTGGCCCAAAGTTCTGCCTGTGGAAGAAGAGGCAAGGTTAAAAGAAGTGAAATCCCTAATTAGAAACAACAACGTAGGTGTGCCTTGCACAGTGGTTCTTTAGGTGTTTTAATGTAATTGTAACCTTCAGTGTTGAGGAAAATATTTACATCTGAAAAACATGTTTTAACAAAATTTTACACAAGTAAAATTTTTCACATGTTGCAGTCTCCTCAATGCAGAGAAAAAAGCTGACAGATCTTAAGATCATGTTTTCTCCTTGGGGGAAAAAAGCATCTTCCATGAAAAAAAATAGAAAATAACACTTCAGCAGTGATGTAGCTGCTTACCTCAGCAACAAAGCTGACTCTACTCAGTTTCTAGGCACACACTTTTGGTCTAAACCAAAACATAAGCTGCATTACATGTGCATTTTGTGAACAAATATTCCTTCATGAAGTATCCTGATAATTTTTCAGGAAGTTTTCAAAACTGTGCTCTTTAAGATTTGTGAAACAACTCAAAGCATTAGCACATATGAAGAAATGCAGTGTCTACTGAAATTAATGTTTCCTATCAATCAGGCTGGTGCTGGTAGTCACTGTTATGTATTTGCTAAAAAGAGTTAACAACAGAAACTGTAGTCCATCCAACTTCACTATTTGTGTGAGTGCAAATGAAGCAAAGTGAGACAAGCAGCCAGGCTCAGGCACATGGAACTACACAAAGTGAGGGCTAGGGATAAGTTTTCCGTGCTGGGGATGAGTTTTACCACAATGGCATCTAAGCCCTCCTAGGCTACAGTCTGCAGTGTATCCCATTCCTCAAGATCTCAATTTTACACCCATTTGTTTTAGTGCAAAATCCTGTGACTGCATCTAGTTTAGACTGTTCTTGATTTGTGCTTTATTTGGAAAACTATCCACCTTCATATGACAGCCAGATAGCAAAGAAAGTTGACATAATAAATTGCCTAATAAAGCACCAACAAGTAATTGTAAATAAAAGTACCAGCTATTTGGCATGCAGAGTTACAAGACGGAGAAGGTTAAAGGGCTTCAAGCTGTAACAATCTCATTGTCCAAGTCCTAAAATTTCCCCATGTCCCTCATGTCCAATCCCCATCTGTCCACTCAGCAGATCCAGAGGAAACCATTTCCAACCACACAAGTTAGCTCAAATAAATGCTTCAATGGGTAGGTAATGTTTAACAACATCACTTCTGTTATGTTAATCACTGTAATCAGTAAAGGATGTAATAATCTGGCCCTTTATGCCTGCAGTGTTGAGCTGGAATTTTGAAGCTGATGAATTACTACAATTTTTTGATGTTGTCTAAAGAAAATATTTTCTCAACATTACTGCAAATGTATTCTTTTGGTGCCAATTTTTCAGAGGATGGGAAGTAAATTCTTTATTGCTGATGTGTTTGCACTTGAAAGGTTCACATATAAAAAGGCTTCACCTTCTCAATCTTCTTTATAATAGATACCTATAGCTTCTCTATAAAGTCAAAGGATCAACATAAGAGCATAAAACCAAAATACAGCTCTGCATCTGTATCATACAGGCTTTGTAGTGCTCCTTATTTCCAGACTGAAACTCAGCTTTCAATTTTTCCACATCCAAAAAAACCCCAAAATTATCTCCAGTCATTTAAGTCAGGAGATACTGCTCCAAGAATCAATTTTACACTACTAATCCACTCTAGCTCAGTATATTTATCTCTGTTGCATGATTCAATACCCATTTCCTGGCAAAAGCTGTTCATTGTGCCTTTATGACTGCCTAGCTGTTATGTGACCTAGGTCTTTCACATTTAATTTTTTTCCCCAGGTTGGTTCTACCCCATTAAAGATGCTGATGGTGTTATTACAGGGAAGAGAACAGTATGCTCACTCAACTAGTATTCCATGCATTGGATATTTAACCCAATGGACTATGACATTGATACATGCCACCTAATCACATTGACCTTAGGTTATTTTTCCTTCCTCTAGCAGGGGCATTGCTTCTATCAAATTGTTTATCATTATCTTCAGATGTTGAGAATAACTCCCACAGCACAACCATGACAACTTGTTTTCTATTGATCAAGCTTTAGGAAGCTTTCTATTTTGAACAGAAAGAGGAATTCTTTCTGTTCAGATCAATGACTTTGCAGATTGTTAACTTACTCTGCTGACAATGGCAAAGCCAGCATTTGGACTTCTGTGATTTACATAAATTCAGGCTGCCCATGCCAGAGAATGATAAACTTTTGAACAAAAAAATACATTGTGAAGACACTATCTTGCTCAGGTGTATTAAGATGGACTACAGCACTTTCACAATTAATTTATCATATCTTCCCTGAATATGTACATACTGTGTGCCATTCCATGTATGCTCCACTCACACTGAAGCTGTCACCTCCAGCCAAGAACTATGCAAGATGCTTAGGAACTCCTCCTTTTCTACTTGGCCTTCTCAAAATCAGGTTGCAGAACAATAAATAAAGGAAAGCTCTTCACAGTTATTTTACCATCAAGTTTCCAAGGCAGTGAAGAGTTCAGGTGAAGTCTGATGAATGACATGAATAGCTGTGGGATTTCAGCTCACATAGTGAACTCTAAGAAGGCAATGAGAGAGCAGCACAAGGCCACCATTTGACCAGCCTGGCTGCAGCAGCTTGGAGAAACTGAGACAAGTCTCACCCCAGTGAGTACCATGACTCAAGAGTCCAACTTCACATGTGGTTAAAACACACAAACCAAATGTGAAGTTAACAACCACCTGGACAAACGTTTTCTCCCCTTTACACAAATCTCTCATGGCAAGGGCAGGAAAAGATGGAAAATTTGTTCCTCCCCTGATTTTAAAATAATAGGGCTGCAAGGCAGACTTTCTCTGTGAGGGTCACTGTGCTCTGTCATTTATTCTCAACTTGGTTAAAAATAGAATGAATCTGTTAGTCATATGAAAGCTGTTGTGAGTGAGCGTTGCCCTGAGGATACAGAAACAAGATGAAAGCAAGAGTACTGGGAGAATTACATGCATCTGAGTAACTGTTTCAGCTCTCCAAAAGCTCATACTCAGTGGTTTACTGAATATTGGAAGGATTTTGCTATAGCTGGGGGGCTAGAAACACATTTCTTTTAAACAGAGGCTTGGATTCCATACAGCATCATATGTCATTTATGCTTCATAAATAAATAACAAAGACTGGATCTGGACTCCTGTTACTTCTCATTTATGCAGTACTTTGCATAATAATATACCAGTGCCAGTAAGAAACTTGAAGTAATTGCAAGGAAAATAATAAATGATAATTTGATCAGTAAAAAGCTACCTCGGTAGGAGACCTGGTGCTGCTGGCGGAGTCATTCCAAATTCCATGTATCTCTGTCAGGAGAATGAAAAAAACCACCAAATTAAAATCAAAATTCATACCTTGGGAACTCCACAGTCAGCCTTTTAAATGATGAATGGCAGAGATCACTAAGCCTGTATGTAGGACTTGATGGCAGCCATAAGAATTCAAGTTTTACAAACAAAGGAGCACAAGAAGATCTGGGAATCACTGCTACAGCAGCTACAGTCTCTTCTGTGCGAGCAGAGTCTTGATTTAAAATTTAATTTCAGAAATACTTTTTCTCACTTGCAGAAGATCAAGAGCTGCTCCAATATCTACTTAGCAAAAAGCCAACCTTGGCATTTGGAAATCTCTTTTGACCTCAAACAGCATCAGACTGCAGCAGAGAGACCACAGGGCTCAGATTCATCAGAACTTATCATGACTTACAGGATTATCCATGTGTTTCAGTGCTCCATCAAAACAAAAAAATCATACACAGAAACACTGCTTCCCTATCCCTCACTTCCTGAAAGCTTTTGGATATCCTGCTGAAAAATATGACCTATGCCAAATACTTTCCTTTTTTCATTGTCAAAATAGGAACTACCACACATACTAAAAAAAAAAAAAGCTTGACTCAGACACAGCAAACTGAGTTGTGAAAGATCATAACTGGAAAGAACTGAAATTATCCTGAAGGAAATTAGATGGGAAAAGGGAAAAGAAACCAAACAGCTCAGAAAGCAAGTTCACCATCTTGTGACAGGCATTTCTGAATTCTCCTTGCTCCAGGAATGTTCTAGATTGTGCTAAGCCCTGACAGCAAGGGCACAACACAATGGCCGTGGCTCAAGCGGCGCTAACTCCCTGCCCAGAGATGCCTTTAGAACTGCATCCCAAATAAACATCTGGGATGTTACCTGCCCAGTGTTGAAGTGTGATGTCATGGTTTGCCTCAGATTCCTCAGATCTTTCCCTGTAGTTTTTTTCCCCAGGTGTGTCAGCTACCTCTCCTTTCCCCTCCCTTGCCCACTGCTGAGTGCTGTCTGTCAGTCCTGGCATTCCAGAAGGGCGTTGAGTGATTGGCAGAGTTCAAAAGATGCCTTTCACCCCTGGAGGACATTGGGGCATCCAGGTGTCACTTGTCCCTTGAGACTTCCCCCCTGTACGTGGTTAGTGGGATCCCTACCCCTTCCCTCCCCCTCTCCCCGGGGTTAAGAGGAACCGCAACCACGCTGTTCGGTGAGTTCTGTTGGAGCAGTTACTGGATTCAGAGGCCTGTGTGCCAGGAATAAAGCTCTGGATTGAAACCCTCCAGCAGAACGGACTCCTCTCCTTCACCATTGCCTTAAAGCTTCTCCACCAGAGGTAAACCTGAGCTCCTGCATGCCTGGACTTGTCTCTAGCACCCAGCTGCAACATCAAGCCAGCCAAAGGTGTCTCTGAGGTGAAACCACCACAGTTGCCGCCTCTGGTCAAGCAGCAAGGGCCAGATTGGTATTATCTTCCAACAGCCCGGCCGGCCCCGAGGCGGTCCCTCCCCGCCCCCTGGCAGCTGCTCCTCACCGGCTGTGCTGCGGAGCCCCCGGGCGCAGGCATGGCGTTGGAGCCGGCCTGGCTGCTGGGAGCCACCAGGGCGAAGGCGTCGTCCAGCAGGGAGTGCATGGTCTGCCGCGCCTCCTCGATGGACGGCTGCGGGGGCACGTACTGCGGCACGGCGTGCGCCGGCAGCCCCGCCAGCTTCCCCACCTCCGCCGAGGACGACGTCTGCGGCTCCGCTGGCAGGTCTGGGTCCGACTGCAGGAGACAGAAGGAAGGTGAAGGGCAGCCACAGAGAAGGTCTAGCTGGCTTTCAAGCTCCTGTGGGCCTTCAGGCAGAGCAACACAGTCTTGACCAAAATCACGTCACGTGCCCTTACCCTCCCTGCTGCTGCATGCACATATGTAACACCAAACACTTCATTCAACACTCCAACACTTCATTCAGTGTGGTCTGAAGGACTCTGTGACTGTGTTCACAGGAGTCCTAAGATGAAAAAAGAGATGAAGATCTGACTCCATGTTTCAGAAGGCTTGATTTTTATTTTATAATATATATTATATTAAAACTATTCTAAAAAATAGAAAAAAAATTCATCAGAAAGCCAGCTTAAAAAGAAAAAAAAAAAACAACAAAAAACCAAAAGCTTGTGGCTCGGACTCTCTGTCCGAGCCAGCTCACAGTGATTGGCCATTAATTAGAAACAACTAACATGGGCCAATCAAAGATCCACCTGTTGCATTCCACAGGAGCAGATAATCAATGTTTACATTTTGTTCTTGAGGCCTCTCAACTTCTCAAAAGAAAAAATCCTAAAAAAGGATTTTTCATAGAAGATGCCTGTGACAGGACTCTGATCTCAGATAAGGCAGCAGAGCTTTGGGCAGGAGTTACTCAGCTGTAACAGAAATCTTGTGGTTTGCAACCACGAAATGAAGTCATGCAGAGAGCATTTCTCCACCCAGAAGAAAACCAATCAGCTCTGTCTACATCTATCACTTTGCAGCTTTTGCAGTTCTAAGAAATTAATCCAGTCTTTAGCTTATAACTGACCACACCAGCAGTAACATTAAACAATTACCACCTCCTAGAAAAATGCAGAAAGGAAGCAGTTAAGGAACTAAGTGGTAACCTGCATGGAGCTTGAACTTGGGTGCATCACCTGAATGGGATTCATGTAAGTGCTTCAATGCAGCAATACCTTAGGCATGCATCATAATTACTACCTGGGATCTTACCACATGGGCTTATTGTTCATCAGTGAGAGGAAATTAAACGAGCTTTACAGCAGCAGACTTATTATCAGAGCTCATTCTTACCACTGCATGCAGACTGCAAAATCAGTCGTCAAGAGGCACAAGCCTCTACTTTATTAGGAACTTAGCATTCCGAGCAGTCTGACTGCAGATGCCAAAGGGGCTGAGCCTGCTGTGTGCCATGTCTTAATTAAACAGCTCCAGATGATAATTCATTCTACTGCAGCATGACATTAAAATCATCACACTCATGTCTGAAGGCAAAGGGAAACTGCAGAAATTGACATCAGAGTCACCTGACCACATATGCAGCTAACAGTGAAATTCTTAAAATTATTAAACCATCTTTAAAGATAAGAACTGTCCAGGGGCTTCCAATATTATCATTTGGCTTCATGGAATCTGCTTAGAAGTGGTTAAAGATGCCTAAGTACTGTTTGTGACATGGATATGATTGAAGTATTCTCCAGTGTCTTTCTTTTTTTAGATGTGAGACAAAATTAATTTTCAAGACATTGCACTAGAATTGTTTCATGTTACTGTAGTACAAAGATGTGTTTCTCTGTCATTAATAATTAATTGCTGCATTTGAAACATGAGAAAATTTCTCATAAAGAGACCTGAGTCTTCCACTCTGTAAGAGCAAAGGATGAAATTTGCTGTAATATATGAATATGTAACATCCAGCAAATTGGACTAGAGTCAAACTATGTTCAAGATATTGTGGAATATGCCAAGCACACTTTCATGTGCATAACACAGTGGCATTAATGAAAACAAGGCTTTGGTTCTTGGCCTCTGTAATATCAAGGAATATTCAGCAGAATTTTACTGCTTAAAAATGACAGACTGTCAATGAAATCCTTATTTCACTTTGATTTACATGCTAACTGCATGACTGAAACTAACCACATCATATGGACCACAAACAGAAGGCCAAAAACCTGCCAGTGTCACAGATGTCATCATTATCAGAACAGTCCTCCCATTCAAGAGACATACATACAATATATGCAGAATTATTGACTCCTGGAGGCCTTTTGTATGTCCCATCACTGTCAGTTGTGATTAACCTGTCCTTTTCAGCATCAATTGGACTCCCATTTATCTGATGGCGACGGCGCTGCTTGGGAGAACGTTTTGCACGAGAACTTAACAGGAAAAAAACCAAAAAGCACAGAGAGAGAGAGAGAGAGAGAAAGGTAATCACAATTATTTTTGAAATTTTTCTTCTCAAGCTTGAACTCCTCTGCTCATTTCCTCCAAGTCATCCTTGCCTCAGCCCTGTTTCTCTTCCCTTTCCCAGTTTTCCAGTCCCATGAGGTAGCTTAAATCTCTTTCCTCAAGCTTCTCTTAATAACACTCTCATTAACAACTCTCTGAAACATCCCATTCTTCCCTTAAATTCTCTCCAGAGTCACCTCCCTCCTAAATTCAGCAACCTGGTGTTCCAGCTCCCCAGCCCAATGTGTGACACACCTGCAGCTGCAGAACAGACCAACCAGGCTCTTTGCTTGGTAAAGAGACCTTAACCCTACCAGGTAAACCAGCTGAGGAACCCACACCCTGGAAAAAAGCTACTTTCTATCAGTCCAGAAGCACCCACTGGGCACCAGCGCTCCAGGAACAAAGTGCCTGTACTCATAAGCCCGAAACAGAACACAGGGGAAAACTTTCTCTGCAAATACAAGGCCAGGAAGGCAGATCTATGAAGCTGACAGATGTGCCTTATAACCTTTTATGTATTCCCTCTGGGTAATCTCACTGATTTGTGAATTTGCCTTCAATGTTCAGAATCTTCATGCTTTTTAGGTTGTTCAAGGTTTTCCTTATTTCACATATTCTTCTCCCCCCGCCCCCCGCTTTATAAAAGTATTATTACTTGCTGGTTATATTACTTGCATGTATATTACTTGCAGGTTTCTTTTTTAGTGCTGATATTGTAATTCTGATCTCTCTACACCACACAAGAATTATTCAAACAAATGGCAAAGCAAATACTAAATTGTTTTAAGACTATTTTCATACATTTGGGCTTATTTATCAAGAATTCACTGCTGAGAACTTGTAAAAACATAATTTGAAATCAAAACATTGTGGCATATACTGAAATAAATAAAAGTGTCCCAATCCTTTTCACCTAGATAAACTCAACTAGTGATCAAAATGGTTTCCAGCTCTGACAGTTAAGATGTAGTTTTGATGTAGTTAAGATGTAGTTTTAGATGACAGCTTTGATGCAGTTTGGGCACTGACTCTAGAAGAAAACTGTTTGTTCCATCTTTGAAATCCCTACCTCTTCCTGGGCTCTATGAAGACAGTAGGCACACTGCCTCCAGGGTCCAAGATCTTGTCAATCTGCATCTGTGCCTTGCGATATATCCTGTGCTGCTCCTTGGAGTCAAGCACCACCACGTCATCCACCACTGGGAACTCATAGTGGCCCTTGCGTTTGGCGCGGAGGCGGATCTTATTGCGGTGGTGCTCGATCTCGGATTTGTGCCTCAGGGCTGTTTGTATCTGCAGGAAGGACAAGGGGAAAAAACAAAAAAAAAAAGAGAGGAATATTTTTGTAGTCATATACTTTTCAAACTGGACTTTGCTGCTCTTCTGTAAAGCTCTGCTCCTCACCTCTCTGCCTGCCCTTGCCTCCCTCCCCCAAATCTCTGAAGGGCTAAAATAAGTCACACAATTTATGAGCACACTTTGCTTCCTGGATATTTTGCAGTCTCCCCATTGTCTCCCCAGGTAGATGTACTATTACACACAGCATGATTGCCAGCACAGCAGGTGCAATTAGAGGGAAGTGGCAGTTTGTTAATAAAAGGAGGAACACAAAAAACTCCTCCTGTCTGCCAGACATAACATTGCTCTGAAAAGATAAGACTGACCAGTCTGTAGTTAGCTAGGCTAGGCAAACAGATATTTGATCAACAGGGTTTATATCTGCCAGCCTTTCCCTTTAATGACCTTCATCACATAAGAAGCAAGAACTTCAAGAGCCAACTGAGCTCACAACTCGGTGCCTCTGCTGTGCCATATGCTATGCAGGAACACAGCAGCAACACAAAAGCCCAGATACCCAGCTGAACATGGCACTATCAGCTTTACACCATCCTGCAGGCTGAGTTTTCATGCATTTCTCCTGCCTTTTTTCAAATTTCATAGAGTACATCTCATTATCTGGGTAAAGCTGTTGTAACACCGCACTTGTAAGTCCTGGCCCAAAACCCACTGAAATTATTCTGATTCTTATCACTGGTAAACACTTGAGCACCAGATTAGCAACAACTGCCCTGCCTGTGCTGGACTAGTTCTGGAACACATCAGCAAATTAAGAACCAAATAAAAACTGATTTTTGTGTATTCTCTCATGAAAATCTGAAAAAATAAAAGCATACAGAGAACAGAAGTCAGACTTGTTCTTTATGCTTATAGTCAGAATCGTATGTCTTCTGCCCATACAGACAGATTTCTGTTTTGTGGCTCCTCCTGCCTCTGTATCCTAGATAGATATATTTGCCTCTCTTCAGTAAGGTACTGAGAAACACAGATTCCTGCCAAAGTTACACCTTTGAGTAATCAAAATTCAGTTACAGGTTTGAGTAATCTTCCACTCTGAATTATGAAAAAATGTCATCTCACACCAAACCAGGATGCAGGTAGATGCTACTGTCAGGCAGTGTATGATGAGGTTTTATGGTGCATCACCTCTCTTCGTGCCCCAGGCACGCTCATATTCTGCTAATAGTAACATGAGCCTCAGAGAAAGCAAGAAATTTTGTATCTTTACTGTCAGCTAAACATATTAGAAGTTGAAAGCAATGAACTGGGCTACAAATTCACACCCCAGAATGCTTTGAGATAACTTTTTAAAACCAACATCCTGCGTCCTGAGAAGTAAAAGAATAGTGTAGAATGAAAACCAAGGTGGGCCATATGTTCCAATTCACACACATTAATTAGCACAACTTTGTCTTTTAGTCATGTCTTTTAGTCATGTCCTGCTGACTAGCACAAGGACCCTAACACAAAGGTATCCTGAGCACCAGATCCTCTCTGCGTTTAAATTTTGGTTTAGGCATCCCTTAAAAACAGGTCAGATAATTCCTCTGGATGGAAACAGGATTATTCCTGTAACTTGTCAAGGCATTTACAAGGAACTCGTGATAACAAGAAACTGGCTACTTTTCACTTGGCTAGGCATAGAATCCTCCAAAACCATGGAAAGCCCTTTCAGAAATACCTCTTTATTGATTTTGTTGGTCTCTGCCACCCGATCGGAGAGCACGGAGTTCTGGACCGGAGGGGCTGCCATGGGCTGCATGGCAATCAGCTGGATCTTGCTTGGGACACGTCTGCTGGCATCTGAGGAACGGGACATCCTATCCACATGCTCAAAGATGGATGCTGAGGAGTGCTGCTCGTTTCCACTGCTGGTCTGAGGAGGTCCTAAATGATCAGAACCAACACGGAGTGAAGCAGTGCTGCCAGGGTTAGCACAGTCAAGTGTTAAGCTCTACAGATGCTGTGCTACAAAACTGTGCCCTGTTTTCCATCTGTGTCTAATCTGCCCTACAGGGCTTACAGCTGACTCACATTTAGTGTACAACAAGTTTACCCCGTGGTTTGCAAATTATAAACATTTTCCCATTATATTTCCAGAAGGTGAGCTGTCACTCTTTATTTCTGTAAATGAAGATCTTGGCACTTGCAAACCCCCAAAATCTCAATCTACTTTCCTGCATAAAAAGCTGTTTAAGTACACTCTTCTAATGATTCCTCTCATCAGTACTTAAGGAGATGCAAATTGCTCAAATGGGGGTTCAAAGAGCAATGAAAGATGTCTCAATGCAAAATGCATTTCTTAAGTGATAGGAGTGATACAGGAACCAACAAAAAACTCCTTAGAAATCCACACAAAACACAAAGAATTTTACAGACATTTTACTGATTAATGCTTTTAAAGCAGATTTTTTTTTCTCTGTGACAAGATAAATAGTCACATAATAATAAGCAAGCTGCAATAATACTGTCATGTTGTAGTTTCTTGAAGAGGTTAAACCAACTCGAATACAATCAGCAAAAGACATTATAGAAACCAATATGCATGGAAGTGTACCCAGGTCCTGCCAACAGTTAATTACTTCAATAGGAATGGGTCATCTCCCTCAAAAAGACTTGAAACCTACAGGATCACCCCAGTGATTTGCAGTTAAGCACAAATTTAGCAATTTTTTTTCTGAGTTAGACCTAAATCAGAAACTGTTATGCAGATGAGGCTTGCAAAAGCTACTGAAAACTTTCAAAATAACCTTTTGTCTTATCCATGTGATAAAGCCACATTCTCAAACTGCTCTTCACCATGAAATACAAGCAATGAGAGATCAAGACTCGTGACTCTCCTTCATATGAAGGAACACATCAGTGTTATGTCCCACATCTTTCCACAGACTTCTAATAAGGGGATGTGGTTCTCAATATTCAAATCAGGAGGAAAATCTAATTTGCTTCTGATACAGAATCAATTGCTGATCAACATGATCCACCTACAACAGACAGGAAGGGAAATAAAACAGTCCCTGCTGTGATCCTGTTGCAACATGTGCTGGTAATGCAGGAGAGGGGTCAGAAGAGGAGTGAATCCTATCTTCTGTGGAAGATCACAATAGATGACTTGCTTCTTTGTCACTTCCAGCACAACAAGGGAGCAGGAAAAGAAAGGAATAGCATGCTTTATATATTCACAGCACACTACTTTTGGGCTGGAAAGCAGTCTGGCCACAAGTTAAGCAAAATCCCTATTCCTATTTCTCAGACTTGATCAAAGCATTGTCAAATATACACATTTACAAAAGGCATGCATCATTTATAAATGTGATTTCTCTGTACAAGTGTTCTTAAAAAGAAGGTAAACAGCTCCATTCAAGACCTCTGTGTCCCAAATGTTTTGCAAGACACAGAGCCTCAATGAAACACATCCATCTTTCTTCTGTAGCTATCTGTATCATCTTAACCATTTGCTGCCTTCACAGCCCCATCTTCATGCACCTCTCAGAAGTGTGCAAGCATTGCCTCACACAGAGAGAAGCACAAGACATATTAAGGACTTAGTGTGAAACTCTCAGAGCAATCATGCAGTCAACAGAAATCTGAACTTCTGCATCCATCTTCCCCAAACATTAGTCATTTTTTCCTCACCTTTTCACTCTATCAGCCACTCCCAGGCTCACTGACCTCCAACATAAAATTGTACGGGTATTTTTGTATTACTTGGTTAGAAAGGTCCAATATTTTCAATTACACTGAGCATTCACTCTGAATCTTTGTAATTTCATCCCTAATTTTCCCTTGTATACAAGGGAAACAAATGCTGGGCTGGAGCTTCTTAGCTGCAAAGGGTTCTTAAGCTCATTTGGTAAAACAGAAGTCCCACTGAAAAATTTTGGTAAGGCTCTACAGTAACATAGTATGTTACTCCTTTTTACAGAAAAGATAGACACAAAAACCCCTCATAAGCTGCATATGACCTTTAAATCCTCTCTGTGGGTCTGCACTCAATGTGTCTATAAATACAAACCAAGATGGAAGCACAGAAAAGTAGACAAAGTCAGAAACAGAGTAACACTGTATACATACAACAAAAGGAGAAATGGTTTCTAACCCAACCTAAGAATGAGGTCCTGAAGAAGTTCTGACAGAGAGAATAAGCACAATTTCTCATTTTAAAGGTCTTATATTACACTTATTCACATCTAGAAAATCTTCCTTATAAAGCTATTGGATGGAACTACATGAATGAAATTTTGATTTCAGAATAATTCAGCTGAGGCTAAAGAATAATGGAGAGGTACTTAATACCCCAGCACTGGTGAGATCATGTTTTAACAACCAGTCCGTCTGGTCACATGCCAGGATCAGGGTCCATCACTGCTCCCTCAGTTGAAACCATTTACTGAAATGTCAGGAAGTTGTGATTTCACATGAAAACCAATACAGCTGGAGACAGAGAAAGGCTACTGCCCCCTTGAGAGACACAGCAACCAAGGTGCATAAGGCCTCATCCAAAATCAGATAAAGTCAATGGGATCCTTCAACTCATCCAATGTAGCTTAACCATGCCAGAGTAGGCAATTAAGAGATAAATTGCACACAGTTTGTTTGTATCCCTGTAGGTGACATCCCCAGGATGCAGCTGATGACTCATTCCACCAGTGGAAAGCAGCAGAGCACAGAAGGACAGACAGAGGGCTGGCTACTCTAAGATGGTCAGTGCTATCAGAGGACACAATCCTTATTTTATCTCTAGATGTGTTATACATTATCAAAGACAGCAGCAGCTTTCTCCTGCCCTATGTTTGCCATGTCTCAATCCTGGCAGAGAAAACAAGAGTTCACAACAAAATATCTATGTTTCTTTGCAGGTTCAGTTCATATTTTTCTTGGGCTCCAGTTAATTAATCCTACATTAATTCTAATATTATCTCCAACTTGTTTCTACAAAGCTGATTTCAGGACCAACAGCTGCATTAGTTTTGCTTCTTTCACAGTGATGTTTTCCTCAATAATTTGAAAGAAATGGGAGGAAAAAAATTAGAAGAATGTGCTGGATTACTATAATTTGTGTTGCTGAGACTTTTTTTGTCCTTCAATAGCTCAAAAGCAATTTTATTTTCTTAGACTCAGAAGATAACTCTTCCATCCTTAAGACATAATTGCAGTTACCCCAACGCCCCTATTCATATTTGTACTCAACTACCAGCTCTGGTTACTTACCCACTCTGTTTGCTCCTGACAACATAAAGGAAAAAGAAGAGACAACACAGTAATTATGACAAGCAATTTAGCTAGAATGGCAACTTGAAAAAAACCACAGCAGTAAGATGACTGCATTTACTTCTGAATGAAATGCATGAACTTGGATCAGACTGCCAAATCTCAGCTGCACAAAAAAGGAACTGAATCTCCCATTTAGTAGAGAGCTCTCTGCAGACACTGCCTCAAATTCTGAATGCTAAGAATAGTCCCTAGGATTTGCAAACTAGGGGCACCAAATGCTGAAAAAATAGTGCATTTTACCCAGTGAGGGCATGATAGGTAGAAAGGACACATTTTAGACAGTCTCCTTGCTGCCTTTACCAGGTAATTCAGATGCAGCAACACGTAACATTTCTACACCAAAAGGAAATGTTAAATGTTACATAAAGTTTTAAGCCAGGTAGAAAAAAAAGAGATGAACCTGGAGGTCCCAGGTATAAAGAAATGGGAGAACAGTAAAACAGAGCAACAGAATTCAAGTCAGATAGGCTGGAGGAACTTAAACCCTCCTGAGATATTTTCCCATATTTTCAAATATATAAATATATCTAATATATATCTATTAATCTAATATATATCTACATCTAAAATATATCTATTTTAGAGTACTTCCAAGAAAAATAGTGGCATTTTAACTGGAAACAAGATGGTTCTTTATTAAAAAATACCAGTGCTATTTACACAGCAGCACTGAATTTTGATCTTTCGAATGTACAATCATGCAGGCATTTTGATTATTAAATTACAACTCATTTGTAAAACTTTGATCTTTCTGGTGTCTTTTTTTTTTTTTTTTCATGTCACTTTTTCAAAGTTACTGTTACAGACACACCCCTGTGGTCTGAAGTCCTGCTGTGACCTCTGCTGCCCATGTAACTGTCTGCAGTTCTGCTACCATGGGAGAGTCAATGAGGCCTGGCTGCACAGAGTTTTGCTGGGGGTGTGTGTGGCACAAAAGAAGGCAAGATTCATTCTTGCTAAGCCATTTGTTTCAAAAGCTTGCGGGAATGAAAGGAATGTACAGCTCCCCAGTTTCAACAGAAGAAACTAAACCAAATATGAAGGGATTTCGTGAGGCAAGGAGCAGAAAAATCAACGGCCAAAGATGAGTTTAGAAAAGTTATAGCACCAAAGTAACTCTTCAGCCTGAGTAAAGCATGAGAGCACACAAGGAGGGGAAAATAAAAGGAAACAAACCCTTCTTCACTGCTCTGCGTGGCTTGCCCTCGTTTGCAGCAGTTGATGGCCTTGCACCTTCTTCTCCCGTCTCTCTCCCGCTGGATTGTTCACTTGCTGTGGATTCAGCATCTGATGGCGAAATTCTGCCACAAACACAACAAAACAAACAAACCAACATGTAACACAAGTCTGCAAGGGGGCATATTTGTCACACACAAAGAATCCTGTGCTAAAACACCTTGTGAAGTCTGCTAACATTTTCCTCTGTTTGTAAGTAAATGTATAATACATAACCATAGCTAGATATTCATTGTCATGATGTTAGTGTTGTTGTGTGTGAAAAATGACTGCAACACAATTCACATGTGACAATATTATTAAGTAATCTTTCCTTTAAAATACACTACGAGAAAAAGCTCTGCATTTGTAGCTAGCAATTTACCTCTCAGAAAGAAAATAATTGTATTAGGAATATGAAACCCACATAAGTAACTAGTCTAACATTCAGCCTTACCAACTTGGTGTTCTCTTGCTATCAATACAAATCTATGTGAATATTTCCCTGACTAGTCAAATGTAAGGCCATTCAAAAATGCTTCTTTTATGCATTTATTCCATGCAGTCACAAGATTCTTAATAACATTTGTTATCTAAAAGACCACAATTTTAATCTCAGTGCTCACAGCTTTTGTAGGCAATATATAAAAATACCATGATCTTCCCCAACAAAATACTTCAGCTGTAAAATTATTCTGATAGTATAAAAATAGAAAAAACACAGGGCCCACACAACTGCCTGACACCAAAACCTGTCTCTTCACATGGGATCAGCCTTTGTGATAGTCTCTAGTGACCACTTTCACTCATATTCTATTGTGGCAGGGAGTTAATCATGGAGAGTGTGCACATGTCTGTGCACCAACCTCATTAGCGCAGGATTTGCTTGGGCTAGATGGGTATATCTGAACTGGTTACTGAGGCTCTTGGCTAAACATCAACCTGCCTAGAGCACCCAGACTAAGATAACTATATGCAGCCTGACAAGTCCATTGAAGTTAAATCTACTTCTTGCAGCTCTGAATTCAACTCCCCTTTTTCTCCTCCCTAAACAATGCCCTGATCTGCAGGAGTGTAATACTAACGTCACATCCCAATTAAAAAAATAATAGGGGGGAAAAGAGGATAAATGGTCCTCAATGAGCTTAGAGATCTGCATCACTGCATCTTTTCCTGTGGGGAGAGGGTGTGCAGAGTTATCACCTCCATCACCTTTGTCCTGGTTCAGCAGAGTATGAGGCTGCAGCTCTGTGTCCAGATCTCCTACTGACTTTCTGTTTCATCTCATTGTGCTCTGCATTTCCCATGATACTCCTTTCTCAGCATATCCAAATTACCACCAAGTAATAGGAACATAAACAGAGTTGAGTCAACATCAGCCGTTTCTTGTAAATGATGAGGAATATGCACTTGTATACTCTCAAGTCAAAACAACAGGTCCAACTCCCAGCTGGAGCCTAGGGATGCTGAGCTTTCTGAACTCAGCTGTTCTTGTTTGTTGTTTCCTACAGACACAGAACGTGTACTCCCATCACCACTAGATTTCCTGGCATGTAACACACAATCCAGAGCTGAACTGTGATGAACTGAGCTCTGTATTTCCTCACAAAACATCAAGCAGCTAAACCCAACACAACACAGTATGATACCATTTCACATTTCAACTTCTGCCTGGGGGAATAAATGTTTCAAATCACAAGCTGACACGGGCATGTCGGCATGGCAGGGAGATGATGGCAGCATCTCCATAGCTAAGCCTAAAGGAAGATTTGTTCTCAAGGGAATATGAGGGAGAAGAGGGAGATTCTCTTCTGAAAACATTTCAAGTGTCTCAACTACAGGTCAGTCACTCTCACCTCTGTGCCTAGGGAGATCAAGGAGCAGATTGTCCTGGAAATGATGCCAAGGCACATGAAGAGTAAGAAGGGGCTTGGTGACAGCCAACATGGCTTCAGTAAGGGCACATCACACCTGGATTACTTAGTGGCCTCCTACCACAGCCTATCATAACAATGTTGGCTTCTGAAATTTCTCCTGCTTAATTTTCTGAATTATTCTAGACAAAATACAGTAGCAACTTCAAATTTAAACTTATTTCTTTTGCTTATCTGCATATGCCTTCCCTTCATCCACATATCACCTCTGTCCTAGGCTCCTTCTGAACTTTTAAAAAGAAACCCAGAAACGCTTGTCTTTCAGATTTATATTACTTTGTTTCAATTTAAGTAAGCTACAACAAAACTAGTATAGCTCATTTTCTTCCATTATATTTCAGTTTTGTTCCCCTTCCACTGTACCACTGGCAGTCTTCTACTTACAAGGCCTGCAGGGATTTGGGTGAACAAGCTTAGCATCTGGAAGCAGGAAACAGAGCTGTATGAAGCCCACATGGAGAAGATGAAGCAAGGATCTTAAGACAACTGGGGCTTTAGAGGAAGCACAGAGGGCTGAACAGAGGAGCAAGCTGTGCTGCAGAGACCTGCAGCCCAGTCAGAATCACCATTAGTTTCTTTCTAAGCTCATCCAACCCTGCTCTTGATTGTTTGCCTTTTTCTTCCTCTCACTGTGCAGTACCACATAGATACAAGTACAGGGAATGCAGAGCTGGAGACAAAGGTGTGAGAGTGAGGGAGAGGAAGAATTATTACTGGAAAGTGTAGTTCAGAGGGGATCTTCTCAGGGTTCCATTTTTTCCCACTTTTTTTTTAATGCACAGATCCATCTCTACTGCACAGCTTTGTTACATCATGTATCCTACAAAAACAATTTTTTCCAGCAAGGGACAGTCATATCATGTGATTATTGGAAAACGTTAGGAAAATTCTGCTGATGGTTTCAGACCCTTCTCCATTTGCACAGCAAATGTGAATTACCATTCCTTTTTCTGAATAAGACTCATTTGCTACAAGATCCCCGCAGAAAATCGTAAATAACAATATCTCTGCATCTTCTCTGAATTTTGGACATCTGACTCTTCATACCTGTATTGATCACTATTAATGGGATGGGAACACATTACCTTTGTCACTTTGTCAGTGGCTTTCATTTGTTTTTAACCATCCACTGCCTTAGTGGCTAGAGATCACAAAGAGACTGCACTGGAATACATACACTTGGTGTTTCCAGTGACCAAGCAAGGACTTGACTCCAGTCAGCTCAGCAGTATCTTAAATGCCCCTCTTAACTGGGTATATTCCCTTTAAAAGAAAAATGAACACTAAATTCTCACAACCTTGTACTAATGAATGGTGAGGTGTAACTGTGGTGGCTCACTAGAAAACACGAGTTCCGGAGCTCTGGAACAGTTCTGAAATGGCCCTAAAAATACAGCAGCCCTTAATAAACTGTTGTCTGCTGCAATTTGTTTTTATCTCTGTGAACTGACCTCCCTCTGTGTCGAACAGTCTTTGAAGGCTTTGTGGAAGTCTTGGATTTGGGGCTGGGCACATCTCCGTTCTCGGATGGGGTTGTGTCCTTAATGGGTCCTGGTAAAGGAGCTGGCTCATGGATAATCAGGACATCATCTTTATTGTGCTGGCCCAGATGCTGCTTAGCAAAATCAAAGCCTTTCACACTGGGGGCTTGTAGCTGTGAGAAAAGAACAAAGACAAGAAACAGGAACAGTGAGTGACAATGAGTACAAAGGCTTTGGTTCAGATCTGCAAACAATGGCCACTGAGAGGATGGTCAGGCCACGGCAGTCTCAGGAAGGAACACGAGAGCACCAGGGAAAAGAAAAAGAAACTCTCCACAATTCTGTCACCTTACTGCAGTATATGATGCACAGTTTAAAATTCCAAATCAATAAAGGTAGTTAAAAACCAAACTTCTGATGCTGCTACTGGTTTTTAATGCTATTTCTTTACATTTCATCATCATGTGAAGAGCTTTTTGTGTACTTATGAGTCCAAGGCTGTAGACACCTGTGTACAGACTGAAATGGCTACCACCATCAGGCCATATTTCCATTTCTTCCAGCCAAAATGGATGCAGGATTTTAAATAATTTGAATACTGTTACTGTTGATCTTTCTCATTTTGAGCTCCCCAAATCTGGGAGTGCTTGTACAAACACCTAGTTCATCTGATGAAAGATAAACACTCTGCAGATCTGACTTATACAGCAGCCTGGCAATGACTTGTCAGCTGGTATTGATGCCTCCAGAAAAATACTGAAAATCTCTTAGGAATTTCATACTGAACAGACAGAGAAATATACAAAAGGCTTTGGGATTTAGAGAAATTATCCTAAAGACCTTATTCAAAGGGAATCTTGCTTGAGAAAGATGCAGAATTCAGCCTTTTACTTTCATAACTATATTTATAAAAAAGTTAATCTCATCTTATCAATTACTTGATTCAGACTTAAGCAAGGTTCCAAGTTTCAAACTCTCTGCTTATTTTTGAGGGCTTTGGAGTAACTGCAAGATCTGAAGAACTAATTAAGAGAAAGTTATTCCTCAAACCCCACTCAATTTTATGTCATTTGGAAGTTGAAAGAAGAAAGAAACGTTGACAACTCCAGCTTCTGAAGCACATGAACACTAAACCCGCTGCACACCACAGGCACAAAATCCTCTGTGTGCTCCCAGAGCTGATTTCCTGCAAAGTGAAGCAAGTGCTGGAGTGCCTTGATGGGTGCGTCAGGTTCCAGATGTTTAAATGAACCCCTTTTTCATAAAGCTTGGCATGCCAGCACAGCTAACTGCAAACACACTCCTCTGATACCACGCCAAAGATAAGCTTGCCTAAGGAATATTCTGAAACAATCTCTTCAAAATATTTTCTCAGTAAGCAAACATTTTCCAAATGGTGTTTGCACTCTAGCAAGCTGCCTGTTTAAGCCAGTAGATGGCAATAAAAGCTCTTCTGTAAAATCCACCAGTTTATCTGCTGAGGTTTTGGAGTTAATTTCTCACAAAATGAGTAAGCTCGTTATTGGAACAAATCTGGATGTCTTCTGCTATGTCCATTTGTCCTGGGCTTCACAACAGTCCCTTCAAATCAGCATTATGGGTGATTTAGTTATTGAATTTATGCAAATAACTGCAATCACTGATCCAAAAAGGCACCAGGGAGCTACACTAGGTGAAGGTGTAACTGTGTCTCCATTTTTTTGAGTCTTTGTCATCTTGTGAAGCCTTCCTGAAATTTTCTCCCCTCCAGATGTTAAACATTTCTCCTCAGGACTTTGCTTACTTAATAAAACCTCTCCCCCAAAACCCTTAAAAAATCCCCATCCCCTCCCTCAAACACTTCTGAAGACAAACTTTTCACTTCTGCTGTCAGAATTATCAGGCCAGCCTGCACCACTTTGGTTACTGAAACTTCTTAGCTACCCCACCTCTCTTAGGGCCTGTCCACAGTAATGTTCATTCTCCTAGAAGATATTTCTGGGTAAGAAACTCTTCCTTTGAACCTCCAGTGGCTTCCCTTCTTTTAACCCTTTCACACTCCCCCCTCCTGTGGTGGCCCAGCCCTGCTGCTGCTTCCCAATGATCACATCCTCTGTTTCACTACATTCCCCTCCACAGACTCCAGTCCCCTTTAGCCCCAAAGATGATGACGTTCTACACCATGTGCTAGGCACAATTCTTCCACAAATCAACCTGGTGGTTCTCTACCCTTTTCTCATCAATCTGCAAAATTACCACTGCTTTTTGAATAGTGTGATGGGTAGGGTGAGGAAGGACAACTGAAGAGACAAACATTCCAGGAATACTGGAGTTACCAGGATGGTTTTACTAAGATTGCTGCATGTCTGAAGCATGAACTTCAAGCTATCTTGGAGTCATTCCAGCAGACTGAGTTTGGGAGTAAAAATATAGAATTTTCACGTTTTTTTAAACTTTGAATAGTCTTATTTGTAGTTGCAGTCCAACATGACCTTTTATCTAAGCAGTCATGGACACAGATATATTTATGTGTCCAGGCACATGTGCCACAGCATATGTATGCATGAATGTTTATCTGCAGACAGACCACACAGCAGCTGAATTTAAAGGCTGTCAGTGCTGCAGAGACCAGCACTCCCACTGTAAGAAATGGCAGTTTAGATTATCTGAAACAACCACAACTGGATCCTCTCACACACAGGCATTGCAATAAAGCCTTGAGTTAGAACATCATGAATTCAGTTCTTCCACAGAAACCCTCTTGGTTTCTCCCACCCTGCTGGATCCTTGGCATAGTCTGGGGCAGAATGTAAGAATATTATTTGCAAAAGCAGGATCCCCATCTCATTTCACACAGAAGCTGGCAAACACCCACTGAAAGGAGAAGGGGATGCAAGATGAGTCTTCTATGCATGTTTACAGCTAGGGTGGCTCAGACTTCAGGGTTTCATGGACACTTGCTGTCAACAGAGGACGGGCCAATCTCAGCTATCACGACCCCAGGCACCACAGAACCTATAGCTATATTTTCCTTAAGTTGGAGCCAGGTAAACTCCTCAGCTGGTCCTACTCTTCCTTGACAGGCAGGACCATTGTCTCTGCCCCACTCTCTTGCCTATCTCTCTTCCTGCCAGCTGACAGCACCCAAGAACCTGAGGCTCATCAGTCTTTACACTTGGAGTCATAACAAGCTCTGTGTAACACAACAGAGGAAAAACCCTCTCACTTTATGGCACAGCTCTATAGACCTCATAAGCACAGAACTGGTGTAAACCTCTGACAATTTAACTGGTAAATCTATAACAGGGCTTTGTCAACCCCACGCAAACATTTTCCAAACTTTTAAAACTTAAGCCAGAAACTGGCAGCTCCTCACATAATCAGCAAAAGCATTTTCCTCACACCAAACAACCTTCTTGTTCTCTTTCCCTCAACAACCTACAGCCCCTAAGGCCCAGAATGTGCACTAGAGCTTCTCCACAACAATTTTTAAAATTCAAACCAAGCATTTAATTTTCTCTTAACCTTGTTCTTTGGAAAACAAACTCTTCTTCTCATCTTAAAAAATAGTTTCAATATCAAACTGATCCTTGAATGGAAATGGGTTGAATGTTTCAAGTCTTAGAGAGTTCTGTACAGACAAACATTTCTAGATATCTCCTGCTAAAAAAACTGAAGTTGGCACTAGCAGTTCCAGCCACTACAAAGATTGTATGCATGTATATATGTGTTTCTGCACATGAATGAAAAAGCATGATAGAAAAATGTGACAATACATACATATACAACATGATAAGTGACTGAATACAGAAAGATGGTCCTCAAAAAATGATAAATTCACTCATTAAAAATATTATTTGCAAAACAGAAATAATAATAGGATTATTACTGGAGAAATAACATTGACATAAGCCTGCTCTGTTTTCTTAAAAACACAATCTATGCTTGCCATACCTCTCCTTGTAGACCACAACAACATTATGACTTAACTGAGAAATGACAGCAGCCAAAATCCACACTTTCAGTGAGAAGTGTCTGAAGGACCCTGAACCACAACTCTGTTTTTTTTTTTAAAAAAAGACAGTCAGATCACTGACTTAGTGAAATGAACGGTGCTACTCCTGACTGGAGGTGTTTCCAACATTTTCTTAAAAATTCCTGTGTGCCACCTGCTGAGTTCCTTCCTTTCTTTAGATCAAGTTATGTAATAGGTTGCATCACTCTGCCCATCTTGGGACTGGTAGTCAGGACACTGTGTGTGGATCAGTCATCTATTACTCATATATTAATCACCACCAAGAAAAGAATGTGGTGTCTTTTCTAGAGCACTTTTTAAGTTGTGCTGATATTGTTACTTGTTCAGGTACTGAAAACGAGCATCTCTTCACCAGCCTCAGGTGCCCTTACCCAGGACTGCACAAAATCAGTCTTGGCAAAGATTTCTTGGTTTAAATGTAAGTTGTTAGAGGTTTTAATTTGTCTTTAATATACTTGTGAAAAAGAAAGAGAGAAACTACTCTGAAGCTTACCACCTAAATGAATATGTCTAAATTACTGAATTCATAAGGAATTAATTAGTATACAAATGCAGAAACTGCCAAAATCTTAGAGAAAGATGATTTCATATTGCTAAGAAAGTTTTTAATTCTACTGTTAAATACTGAATGAAATATTAAAAAAAAACCCCAAACCAGTATTTGAAGCTCAATTCATGGAAAAATCAAATCATTTCTGCAAAAGCCAACAAAATCTGTGCACCTCAGCCAATTCTTATTGCATAAAAGCAGATAATAGTTTCAGTGTGGTTCAAGCCACTGAAATACAAAATGGTTGCCAATATATTTTTTTTTTGGATGCAGAGACACACCAGGAATGTCAAAAACCTGTCTTCAAGAAAGCAAATGCTGCTAACAGTTCTGTGAGTAATTTCATCAGAAAGCAGAAGAAATATACTTAACTCAGTATTCTTCCTGTAGTTCCTACAAGCAGCATTTGACTTTGGACATAATATGAAGAATAATGTATCAAGACCATTTTCTACTGAAGTTATACCATGGTCTTGCCTTGTTCCTTGTAGAGCCAGCTGAATTGAGCAGAGGCTGTTAACATACATTTCTAAGGAAATAGAGGAGCTAGGCATGTGCTTTAGTGTCAGTGCATCACCTGTGAACAGGACAAAGATCCCTTAAAAAGT